TAGTCCTCCTTAAGTAGATAGAATATGGCTTTGGGTATATTATAGTAAGATCCCCATATATCCCCAAAATCGATCTACTCAAGGGGGACTATACCTCTACGAAAATTCTGCCGCGCTATAGGCCCCTTGCAGCCTCCTGGAAACCATTTGGACATAGCAAAAGGCACATCTGCGAACACCTCGAATCCAAAACACTATCCCAACGGACTCCAACGCAGTACGCTTACTAATATTACGAGTATTTTACTATTATTCAAAGGCCTCTGCCCGCAGCGAGGCCACATCCATCCCCAGCAACGTGGTTAGGAAGCCCACGCTGCGGAACCAAGACCTGGCACATCATAATATACTATAGTATATCGAAATATACTGTAATATACCGTAATATTGTAACATACTACAATAAACCCTGATATACTATACTACTACCCCCATGATGATGAATCATATAGAAAATGAAATGGACACCGGGCTCCCTATAGCTGAGTTCTCAACGAGGCATCCTGAGCCCTTGTGATTTGATAGCCCTGCTTCAGGTGCACAGCCTACAATCTCCTGTATAATCCCAGTTTCTAAACTCCGTAAAGGGGGTTATATAGGGGATTATATAGGGGACTACTAAAGGGGATACTAAGGTGGATACAAGGAGTTTAGACTATAACCCCTATAATCCCCTATAAAATCCCAGTTTCCATTTAATTTTCCACGTGCTTTTCCATTTGATTCTCCATTACTAAGGGGATACTAGGAGTTGAGGGTTCCAACGCCGGTCATGTTGACCTGGCCCTGCTGAGTTTAGGTGTGTGGAATGATTGAAAATCAGCGCCGCCGCAGCGCAGCAGATGAGCCAAGATGCCGACAACTACGCACATCCAGTTCGATCCCACACATAACTCCATGATGAAGCTCTCAGACCTCTCAGACCTGGAAATCCCCTTGAAAGCACATAAGGTGGTCACAGGCCGTCTCAGCGACCCTTGGCAGGCTGATGGCCACCAGCCCCAAACCAATGCCGGCATCGCCGCGCCATTCGCGGCTGCAGCGGCAACTTGAGTCTGGCACAGAACCTTGGAGATGCAGCTTCTGGGCTGCTGTTAAGGAACTGAAATTAAGTTACCCTAATATGGGTATGTAGAAGACAATGGGGTTTCGTTACGTTAGCATTTTTAAGTTAAATTCCTTGACAGAAACTCAAGCTTCTGCAAGGTTCTTCCACCAACAAAAAACCCTTCCAACGCTGTCTTACTCTACAAAACCGGATACAGCACACTCCGGGCTGTAGCACAGCCTACCATATGGTGTTGCCCTCAGTTATCTCTGGCTGCAGCGCCGGGTGATGTGGACAGAACCAGGGGAGCATACATCATACAGCCACTTCCTTTTGCCATCAGATGGACGTGGACCTAAAAAATACTACTGTGACTGCTTTCAGTCACACTCCAAAAGTAACGGCCAGCTCCTACAGCGAATGTCTCCAGAGCCCGTGCGGCGAGCTTTCATCGCACCAATCTTTCCTACAATGTTCGAGATATCTCCCAAAACAGGGTTGAAGGGCTTGGCACTGAAGGGTGTGAGGTTTAGGGCTTGGGGCCAGCCCGAACAAGGTGCAACCATCCCTTGGATCAGCCTGGAGCAATTCGCTGCATGGACATTGGCTCCCAGGCGCGAAGCACTGGCCAACGAGATTGTTCTTCCCACGAGGGGCTTGCAGAAACTGGGTGGCATACCTTGGCATACAAACAAATCTTAGGAAATGGACTTGCAGCCCCTGAGCCCGTTGAGCAAGGACCCTGGATTCAGAAGAATTTCGTATTTTAGGTTGACCTTCTTGTACTCATGACTACGTTGGCTATGACCCTCCATACCTGCCAGTAGATAATTCTACCCAGCACCTGAAGCCCATCGTCGTTGCCTTCCCTGCCCGAAGTTGCAATGTGCGACCCTTCCTGCGATAGCCATCGCAGATGTTTCAACCCTGACGACATCCAACAAAAGGACTCTGAGCAGCTGTAAACATGTGCTTTTCGGAGAAGGGCAAGGGCAGCGGTGAAGGTGCAGTACTCGTTTAGGTCTGCGAGCGCTGGTGCTACGGCGAGTCACCGGCGTTGTAACCTGGAAGAAGCAAACAAAGAGAAGATGTCCGAGGGCTTCAGAGCAGCCCGGGAGCTAATGCGAAAAAGAAATCATATTGTTATTGTTACAATACATGTAAAACAATTTCACAATCAGGCCCATCCTTGCCTGCACAAGTACGGACTAGGAAACTCTGATGCGTTTGGCTGCGGGCGCCACAGCAACCCTCAGCACGAACTTTATCGAGGAGCGGACAGCCCATCGACAGCCCGCACAAATTGCTAATTGCCCATCTGCTTTGCAGCCCCATATTGCAACTCCTATTTGTACCAACACATGCTCCCAAGTTCTCCACACTTCAATCAGAGATCTTGCTCTGCGACATGTATTCTGCAGCTGAAATTCTGCCAACAGACTCCGCTCCCCACCCCTCAGCTCCAAATGCTACCCGCGAGGCTGTTCTGCCGAGTGAACATGTCCGAATGGCTGTGCGTCCTGTGCACCCAAGGTCAATGGAATTGGTACAAGAGAACGCTTCCTGCGCAATTTCGTCTGATGCACTATACCTACTTCAAGAACTACACCTCAATGAGCATGACAATTGGCGTCAAGTCTTGCTCCATTGCCCTTCTAAACCTACTTGCCTCTCAAGCAGCAGATCTGAATTATCAAGCTGCCAGAAGCATAGCCTACTGCATCTGGCTCATTCTGGGATAAAGATTCTATTCATGGATATTCAGTTGCCAGCCGGATTGTGAGCAGCCGAAAACACGTGAAGGCACACCCCAAGTCCGCCATCCTTATATCATAATAATAGTAATACTAGTACTAAGATGTAACCACAATAATATTAAAGATAATAATAGTAATGGCAATAATAATAGTAGTAAAAGTAATAGCAATAGAAAATACCAATAATAATAATAGTAATAGTAATAATAGCAATGATAATAATTTTTCAAGTCACAATCCGGAATCTGGAGCATCAAGCTCCCAAACCCTCGCCCTTGAAACCTTGCCGTGTCCTGTACGCAAACAGTTCGTCCAGAGTAGCTCCCCCAAAAGGGGCTCTGCCCTTGCGGTAGATGGTCCAATCTGCAACCTAGCAGGGCTTAGACTGGGTTGCTGTTAATGAACGTAATTCAAGCTGCTATATTGGAAAACCCTATGATTTACTCTGTATCTGTATACAGATATATATGTGTATAAATATATATGTATATATATATATGTATACATATATATATATGTGTATCTATATATATATATGAATATATATGTATATATATATGTATATATATATGTATATATATATATATATCCGTTATGGTAACTTAAACCTAATGTAAGTTCCTTAACAGCAACCCAGTAGAGCCTTGTTGCTGGGAGTGGTCAAGTGGGGACTTCTTTTAATGGGGTGCCCCCTGGGCACGTGAAACGGGTTGCAAGGAAATGCACGTGTATGTGTATGTGTGTACATATACATACATATGTAATTATGTGTATATACAGATAAAGATGTGTACACATCGGGCTTAGGTTTTAGGGCTTGGGACCCTGCGGATAGCTGGGAATTACACGTGGCATGCTGCGAGGTCACTGTTCTGTTGGTCACTGTTCTGTTGGCTATTCTGTAGTGCTTGCAACATCCCGCGCCAGAGAACAATCGGACACCCTGGTGAATACGTCCTGCAGGAATTTGATGACATCACATAATGTTGCCTGTAAGATTGCGGGTTTGACTATGCATCATGTCGCGGATACTCAAAATAGGGGCCCCTCAACGCTATGGGGTATATGATGGAGCCTCAGTCTACAGGGATCGTTTTGAGAAACTTCCCTGTTGCCTCTGAATAGATGACTACTCCATTGCATTTGAGCCATGGTCTAAACTCCTAGTATCACCCTTAATAACCCCTATAATATACCCTATATAGTCCCCCATATAACCCCCCTTTAAGGAGTTTAGACTATGGCTCATTTGAAAAGATGGCTTCACGTTGGAGCCTGTAGAGACGGCATGTAAAACTCTTAGGGGAACCAGGGATGCATAGAGGTCCTTCCCAATGGTCCTTGGCATTCCTTACTTGAAGGGGGGGATTACTTATAACCTCCCGTTGCCTGTAACTCTAGACCAATCATAGCAATACTTCGGGGACTTGTGGTACTGATCGTTGGTTCATAACTCCAAGTAAAATGTGGGTATAAGTAGCCCAGCCCTCCAAGTAGTATTTCCTGGACTCTGAGCGAATCTCTCGCGTGGTTTCCTGTTGGGGAACGCAACCTCGAGGCTCTATCAACTATGGTTCATGGGATCCCCCCAAACCCCCCTCAGCTTAAAGGACAACTGAAGTTAGTAAGGACTAGGTAGGAGAAAACATGGGGGAACCTAAAGGGATAGTATAGGGGGATGATAGGGGATTTCTTACGTTGCGGCAGGTGAGACAGGCATTTAAGCAAAAGTGATTAAATGCGCAGCCTGCTACTTGAAAGCGGCTGTTACAACGAAAGCCCAGCCGGGGAAGGTCACCAGAGAGTACTGGGCGGTGGTTTGTCTCGATCCACTCCTGGTCGTGAGTCCAGCATTGTGGCAGCCAAAGCCCTCATAGGGAAGAGTCACCTCCTCGAAGCCCTCTGCCGGCTTCCCCTTTTGGCGGCTCGCCCGCTGCCCAGCTTCCACAAATTGTTTGAACCTTCATGCCCCTATCCAGCAGCAGCAATTCAATGAGGGATGGCGTGAGGAATGTGAATGGGCTGCACTAAGTACCTGCATCAGTGCTGCTGAAAATCTGGCCCGAGAGCAAGTTGTAAAGGAGTGGATCATAACATCAGGAAGGCACAAATCCAACAACTGCGGCCAACCGACCCCTCACGCATACACCCCTCAACCCTAAAACCGTGCACCCCAAGCCCCTAAACCCGATGTCCCCCTCTCAAGGGCCCAGGCTGTCGAGAATTGCACCTCCTTTCAAAAACGTGTAAATTGGTTCTCAGAAAGCAGACGCGGTGCCTTCGTGGAATTTACAATCCCGGCATGACATGATTCTCTCTCTAGTAACCCCGAAACAATTATCGTTGCACTCCCACACTCCTCGACGGGCATAAATAAGCAGAATGGTTTTTTGGGCATCGGCATTGCCCAGAAGACCTAGAGGAACAGTGTCGCTGGTGCTACAGCCTCCTGAAGTCCCACAACCGGCACCCCCCAGCACTCTTTCAAGCACCTGCGGCGCGAGAGTGGCGCGGAAGGAGTGATGCGTGCGAACGGAGACCGCACGGTCAGGGGCCACGGCCTCATGCTCGTCCTGAGTCTGCAATCTAAGAAAGCTGATGGCTAGAATGCAGTTGGCAAAAAAGGCAAAGGAATACAGGACCATCTATTTCTGATAGCACTGATCATCAGGATGCTGAGTTTGACTGGGCAAAAGATCCTCGATATCCCGCGTGGGTCCAACACGACACTTGCTATCACCCCACAAGCATCTCTCTAGATAGATCATATGAGCATCGGCAGTAGAACCAAAAAGACTATAGTTGCTACTTCATCACAGACAACATAACTTGAGGGCAATGTCTTTACAACCCCAAATTGTAGATTGCAGGATCCGTCTTACAAGATTAGAAGGACTGCAGAAAGGGAAACGCCAGTATGCGCGCCACCAAAAAATTCTCAAACTTGGAGAACACTGAAATGTTGCAATGAAGCGCGACCTGGTTTGCCAAAACGAACAAAAAGTGACCCACAGTTCTGATCGACCTTACTTAGAGCCGGCCGGCACCTCAATAAGAACACATTCAGGCTTCAGGGCAGCGTTTCTGTAGTAGGGGCCGGGGTAATAGGAACAGAGCTTTGCGAAACATATCACTATTGCGAAGTCACTGGGATACAGCTGGGTAGGTACTAAGCCTCAGCAGGTTTCATCTAGGATGGACTAGTGGAGAATCAAATGGAAAAGAAAATGGAATGTAAATTGGGAACTGGGCCGAGCTTATTAGGATTAGAAACCTACAGTCACTGCTGCAGTTATCCGTTGCAACAGTGACCATAAGAGACTTTGGGACACCTTTACAACTTTGGTTTGTCCCTAGGCTGTAGGGTAATTGGCATGATAATTCGATGAGAATGATACAGTAGTAACACCAACAGGCACTCATGTTGTTCAGGCTGCTTCTGTAGAAGTCTCTATTGGCCACGAACAGAACGTCACTATCTTAGACGTCTGATGCGTTGCACAATGGCTTGAGCCCCAAAAACATCCCTGCCTTCTTCAACCTGCTTGTAATCCCTGCACTCAAAAAGCGCCCAAAACGTGGAGAGTTTCTCTAAAATAAGGTGTTTACTTTTTGCGGGTCCCCATAATGAGGACTCTAGCATCTTGGCGTCCATATTGCGGTCCCCCTATTGTGGGAAAGTACCACACGAAGCACCAAGCAAAGCAACCAATCCGCATGACACCTTTGATCCCTTTTCAAGGCACAGAAGTCCCCACAGACGTATCTCATCCGAAGTGCAAGGAACTTGCCGGTGAGTGGGGGAGTGGATCCCTGTAATAAACACTAAACAAACACTTTACGACCCCTGTAATGATTTCCGCCAATCTCGCATAAGCACCACTAAGGCGAGTTGGTTATGTCTGCTTAGTGTCTCGATTCATGTGGCTCTGATGGAACCGCTGCAGATCCACAGTGTGATTGCCATCCATGTTGATGGACACACACGGCTCGAACGTCCTGGAAGGGCAAAGCCAGGGCAAAAAAAAATGCCTTGGGTTGCTCAACGCTGAAGTCAACGCTGATACAAACTGCAAAGATGGACGCAGCACATGTCCAACACTTGGAAGGCCAGATCGACAACATGACTGGACCTGGGAAGTGTGTCAACCCGAAGCAGAGAGAAATATTCCATTCCCAAGACGATAGAACTAGCGGCACACTTACCAGCACCCTGACGAGTACCAGCATGACTCTTGCTATGCTTTTCATAACACGATGAACAATTGCCGCAAGCCATGGGCCGATCATTTCTATGACTTCGTGTCCTGTCCCAGAAGAGGTCGTCCAGCGTATAGGAGTGCCTGGCTTCAAAGCTTGCTGCCGTAGTCTGTTCCACGCCACTCACCTGAGCAAAGCCACATGTATGATTGGGAGGTATGGCCGGCCAAACAGTTTGTTTGCTGGAAGTTTGTGGCCTGGTTGGTGCGGATGCAGAGTCATGCGTTGCGAATCATTCGCATGAGTCTTCTCGGACATCAGAGAAGAAAAGAGTAGAATACATAGACGTGCGTTGTAACATTGAGTCATTGGATTTGGAATTCCGGAGCCCAGAACTGTTAACTCAGAAAGAATCCTTGGATTTTGAGGAGCCAGTTGGAGGGCTTACCCGAAGACCACGAACAAAACACAGCACGTGCTCTCAGGCCGTGGCTAGAACCAGGATCTCAAGGTACTTTGACCTCAGGCAGCAAGCAAGACAGGGCGGAGCTTCAGCCAAGAATGCGGAATGGCTAAGGTTGATCACTGGGGCTTTATTAGGGCTATCTTGGGGATATATGGAGATAATGGAAAAGAAAGTGGAAACCACTATAATGGGTTGTATTAGGGTTTAGGGTTTGCTCATGTTAGCAAACCACCCACCTCTAAAGCAATTGAAATCCAATTCCAAGAGCGTAATTAGCTATTCCCACGCAATTTCTAGATCTGCGGTAGCCTTATTGCGAGAGGATATACACACGAACGATTTTGGTCAAGGCCCTTGTGCTTCCAGTGAGTCGTCAGTGTTGCACGGGGGCAGCTGACAAGGAGTTAGACATGCCTAATTATGGGAGGGCCTCTTTCAAACTAAAGAGTCAACTCCAGGGTTTCGGGTTCAATAAAGGGCCATTGCCTAAAAAAATCTTTCGAGACTGACCTTCTGAGCGAATAATTCTCACTGATCAAACCAATCTTACGAGAAAGGGAGCAACCCGCAACCCCAAGAAGGGTTCCCCGGTACGTTTTCCGGAGGAATCTGTCCTGAAGGACCGTCAACACTTATTTACAGCAATCCCTGCACTCATCAAAGTGTGGGGCAAACATCCCCAAGTCCAACCAGTCTTTTAGGCTTGGCAGACTTGAGGCCAGTTCTCCTACCTCCCGTTAATCCTACTCAAATTCTTGAAGCTGCTATGCATTGCCTAACCCCTCATTTGACAGCTTCCAAATACTGAACGCCTGATCTATCTCTCTGAAGGCCAAGGCGACTTTGCGGTAGGTCTCTCCTTGTATATACCATTCCCTGAAAGATCCAGAAGGTCTCCCCCACAGCACCTCTATAACGGATCTTGCGAACGCGGACGGGGAGGAACCCCTCTCACGAAGAAGCACACCAAAAAAAAAAAAACGTACAAGCCGAGTTGAGGTGGGTCCTGGTCCTTGTCCACGTAGAGTTCCTAATCTCCCCATCATCCTCTGCATTACTGTTGATACCAAAAATCCTGCATGACCTTAGTATACTATTATACCATAATCCCCAAGGTACAAGGTACTTAGGGTCATGCAGGATTTTTTTATATCCACCGTACCTACCTACTCTCAAGAGACTTAACGACAAGGGACGACTTGAGATAGGTTCTCACATCCAGCTCCGAGGGATATCCAGTGGTGCCCGAAGGTACCACGGGCGCCAAGGGACTGCTAAAGTCTACCTGACACATGACTGGGTTGGTGTTAAGGAGCCGAAACTAAGTCACCATAATATGGGTATACAGAAAATAGTAGGGTAATCCGGACATAAGGACAATGGGTCTATGCAGGCATGCATATCCAGGTCTCCTGAAATTGGGGATCCCGTTTCCGGAGTACATAACACGGATTATGATCACTTGGGGGCACATAAGCGGGATCCCTAAAATTCGGAAATTCCCACTTGTAGGCACAACACAGGAAATTACCATCGGCTCGAGGGACTTGATGTTGTGAAGGCTTCGGGGCAGTTGGGGCTTCAGAGTCTACAGGGGTGTAGTCTGCAAGACTCTATCTGTTCGACATTTTCTGAGAAGGCCCGTACAGTGCAGCCAAATCTAATCTAAATCTAGTCTTATCGCCTACCTTGCTCCGACGATCTCCCACGCGCAGGGTCCCAGGGCACGTGGCCTACGGTTTTAGTCTAATTGACTAGAAGCCGTTTCTGTCTTTGACATTTTCTTCCGAGAAGACGAAATCACTGAAAGCACAAGTCCATGATGCATCTGGGTCTGGAGGCTTCTGGAGGCTTCAAGGCTTGGGACGGCTGAGGCAGGAGTGTAGGGCTTCAGGTATGGCCCGAAATTCTTCACCTTGGGGCATCCTCATGTTAGCAGCTCCCTTTCTTACAGTAAAGTGCTTCATGTAATACAGCACACTTGAAACCCCCCCTTCCAATCATTCAGGTCTCAAATGCTTTGAGGCTCACGCCTTGTGGCTCACCTCGCAGGGCAGGCCCAGGAAGATCACTCCGTTGTACCTGACTGGCTCCTAGAGACCCTTTTCAAGTTACCATTTGCATGGTTCGCGTGCGAAAGCTGCTTGCATATGCGCGTGCGTAGGAAGAGCTCAACCAATCATGTCTATAGTACTGGCGGTCTATAGACTCTATAGACAGCCAGTGCTTTGGCGCACACAATGCTTTTATGGCCAACCCACTCCAAAAAGAGGAATGAGAGTTGCGACGCTTTGGAATGTAAGGCTCAAGCATGCGCAACTACCTGCAGTTGAGAACCCTGTATTTTCGACACATTAAAAATGCACTTATCCCCATCATAAGGAACCCGAAGAGAGTGAAACTGCCATGTCATGCCCTATACAAGCTTCTGCAAAGTTGGCCCAGGAACATGTCCATGTCAGGCTCGATGAGATCCATCCTTGCAATCGAGCGGAAAGTAGGTCAACAGTAAAATTCTGACCTGCGCGGTTTCCTTTCACTACAACAAAAAAATGGCAAGCAACGTAGTAGCAAGCATAGCCCCTCGAACTGAACTGGAGTGCAAAACCGGAGTGCTTCGAACGTTCGGACACGCGAGGCATTCATTATGGATTTGTACAGCGAACATTCGTTTGCCCAAAACACAATGCAAGCAAGGCTTCGCATTGACCTCCACGCGCACGCCGCGTGGTTGAGAGGGCTCCTTGCGGGGGAGCAGCGTGATAAATGCTTGCAGGTCCGAAACCATTGCTATGTACCCTGTTTGAAAGTTCATCTGTCTGCCTGTACTGTGTGGGACCCGATTGCCTCCAGCCACTTGGAGTAACAAGTTGTTCAAGCATTTGGCTGGCACTATGTTTACACCCCAAACGGCTGCCAGGAGCTTTCTCAGACATTCAGGCAAGACCCTCCTTGTGGTGCTGAACGCAGTAGACCTGGATCTTGCCTGGCCAGGGGAATGGACCTGCCCTAAGGGGACTTGTGTGGTTACCCCGACCCTCCAGTTACGGTCACGTCACGACCATGCGGTCCTAATTCGATGTGGTTATTTGCAGCAATCACAGCCGATACCCTACTTTTCACGGAACAGCCTGCTGGCCAATATGCTCCTGCGGCTTTGATTAATTATCACCCTTTAACACCAAGCCAAGCTCCCCGAACCCAAATGCAAGAGTCTCAAGAGACTTCCTGGCGGTTGGTAGGGAATGAAGACATGGGTTATAAGGACTACTATACGGGGTTACATGGCAACTAAATCAGGGATCAATTCCTCCATTCCCCACTAAGCTCTGGCTCCTGAACCCCAAACCTTGAACACCAAATTCCACAACCCTAAATGATGACACCAAAACGGTTTGGGGCCCTAAACCCTGATTGAATTCTACAACCCTAAATCAAGTAGTTTCTTTAAACCCTAAACCCCTAAACCCTAAACTATGTTTTCCATGCCCTGGTAGTTCCCTGTCGGGCCTTGGGATAGGCTGAAGCCAGTCCTGGCCAGTTGTTAACAAGTAGGATTTACGGTTCAGGGCTTTGGGTTCAGGGCTTTGGGTTTAGGGCTTTGGGTTTAGGGCTTAGGGTTTAGGGCTTTGGGTTTAGGGCTTAGCGTTTAGGGCTTAGGGTTTAGGGCGTAGGGTCTAGGGTTGTATATTGAGATTATGTTGGGAATATATTGCTGTCATGTCGGTATTCTATCGTGAGTATGGAATTAACCATGGGTTGTGACAGATCTCTCCAATTGAGTGTCCCTCTCGTAAGATGTCTCTCTGTCCTTCTAGGAGGGATCCTAGCATCGTTGGGGTGGGTTTAAGAGCAATAGCAACCCCTCTTATGACATATCTGATTCAAAGCTTTGCCTGAAGTGAAAGGAAAAGGGTTTGCTTCTGGTTTGAAAGTTGAAGGTTCAGAGTCCATCCGCTAAGTGTAGGGCTTGAGGATTCAAAGTCCCAAGGTTCTATTGTTAGGGGGTTTCCCAATATTAGGGGCACCATTTTGGGGCTAGAATAAGGCCTCTAGTATTGGGGGATGTATATTAGGGTCCCTTTATTTCAGGAATTATGGGACGTGGCACACAAGGGCTAGAACACTATAGACTGCAAGCCTCAGGAACTCAAAGATGGGCCACACATAGACAACCGATTAGTAAGAGTATTAGTCGTAAGAATAACAGCACTCATAGTTATGGCAATAATACCAGTAATCATAATCATACTAATTTTCTCAGTCATCGCATTACCGCATCTGAAACCGAACGTAGCTCTCCTCTTGGCTATTCGGAAGGTCAGCTGGACACATCCGTCCACAACTCGTAGCAGCGCCGTGTCGCTGAACATCACGCTCGCTGCGTGAGCACTGGCCTGAAACTCACCGGAAACGTGCTTGCCAGAACGTCTATAAGAACCACAGTGACGAGACCGGGTTAAACCTGGAAGGTGTGTGAACGCTAGGGGTCACCCTTTGCTATCCTTGTCAGAGAGCACTCTACATTTGAAGCTGCAGCGAAAAAAAATAACCACCGATGGTGCAACGCTTAGAGTCCAGGGCTTGACAAGGATTCATTCACACAGGGCAGACAGTCCAGTATGACTATATGGCACGGAAGGGTGTCTTCAAGACATAAGCGGCAGATAAGGGCTGCTTCCGGAAAGTATACGATTTCGGGATTCCCCAAGACCATGCAATCTCTCGCTGCAGCCAGGCGGCAGCTGAAATCCTCGGGTGCGGTTGTGGTTGAAAACTCCAGGGGTCAGGGCTAGTTTAGTCATCTGAAGTCATTCTGGGACCCCAGCGAACTTGCAGGTCCCGAACCCTCTCAACATCTCTCAACTGAGCGTCGGGTGCTTCATGACTGCTTAATAATCAAGAACCACTGAAGTCTCCTCTGAATATTCACCCCCACTCAGACTTTCTCTGCGCGTGCAGGGTGTGCACTGGCACTTATGCAAGGACTGCCAAGAGGCTGCGCAAAAACAATACCAATCACGGCTGCGTCCAGAACCTGCCCGCAAACAACCTGACGGCAGCGCATGGCTTTCAAAGGACAACAGCATGGAATTCCGACAGGCCGTAATACATTCCGTGGTGCAAATATGTTGGAGGGACACGGGCTGGCAGAAAAGGAGCTCACGGAGGCGACCTACACGATGAAAGCCAGACCCGTACGTGTACTGCAAATGGGCACCAGACTGCACCATCCGAAGTTTCAGATTGCAAGAGATTAAGAATCCTGGGCCATTTTGTGGTTCGACTAGGTCTGCTTCGCAGGGAGACCGTCTCTTCCATGAATTTACCTTGGGGAAAGCCAGATTTGGCGTCGGCGCTTATGGTAGGAGAGAGGGTTCTGATCCATGCATTTGCGGGAGAGGATGAAGACGCCATCTGGAAAGGTGTGGCACCCTGCAAAAAGGGTCTGGAGGATAAGGTCCTAAATTCTCAGAGGCAGCAGCAGCAGTAATCCCTTGTTGCAGGGCTCTGTTTTGGAAAAGTTCCCTCCCTTTGATGTAAGCGGAAAAACACCTGCCTGCAAGGGTAGCAAGAACACGGCTTCGGGGCAGCCTGCGAAGTTCTCCGCGGGTGCCCCGTAACCTGGAGGCTGAGAAAATTGTGATTCTCCGGCTTGAATGAGATTCAGGAGATTTTTGTCGCAGATGGAGCTCTTTGGGTTCTCAAGTGTTCGTCAGGAGCAATGATCACGATACCTCTACGATTACAAGTGTACCTTGTCATAATGGATGTCCTCACGTCCTTGACATTTTTCCCGGGCTGGCAGGATACAGATCACGTGACCCTAGGGCTTCGAAACAGGGACTTTGCTGTTGCAATTTGCGCAACCCAGAGCCAAGTCTTACTGCGGGGTCCTCGGCAGTCATGCGCCTTGGTGAAGCTCCAAAGGTACCTATCCAGGATTCATTGCTGCTACAGCGACTTTACTTCAGCAACCTTGCTTGAAGAAGTATTGTAATATAGTACGTAGTTACCATTTTCTTTTCCATTATTCCCATATAACCCCAATATATATTTATCCCTATAGTCCCCCTATATACCATTGAATTCCTGTACAGGTTCTGGCAGACCTCCATCTGCAATTGTGTTTGAAGATTGGAGGCTTGTTGCTTTTTCAGGTCTGTGGAGTGACTGGTCAGTCTCAAAAAGTTCCTGATGCAAAATACGCCCAATCCCAGAATGCCACCACCTGGACCTGGAACCTCTACACTGCACTCTGTTTTGCCGACATGCGCCCTACTTACCATTGTAGAAGAAAGAAGCACTTCAATGCTCCACGCGGCTGCCCTTGACCGTCTTTCTGAAAAGGGCCTTCGATGTTTTAGCTGAAGTCTGCAACATTAGACCACAAACATGGAGCCGAATCTCAAAGCCCCTAAACCCTTAGCCTCAACTCTCAAACCTCACCGCATGAGGTCAGCAAACTCTTCTTCATTGAGTCTGTCTGAGAATAAACTGACAGTAGCTTGCCTGCGTGCTTCTGCCTGATCCTTAGGTTCCTACAACAGACGCTTCCTGCTTACACCCTACCCTAAACCCCTAAGCCCTAAGCCCTGACACATCTGCTTAGGATGAACTGCAGTGCTGGGGCCAATCGTCATCTGCGTCTCCACGGAAAAGTAGAAGGCCGACATGAGACTCGAAAGCCTTTGTCAGCTTCCAGTTGACGGGAAATTGGGCGTGTTTTTATCGGGTTCCTCAAAAAGGGGCGGGCCTTGGGGAATCTTCAGGGTTCTAAGGTTTATGGTTTAGGGTTCTAGGGAGGTTGTACTCAGCAACTCCCATTCGAGGGTTTGGCGTGATTGCTAAGGCCTCTTGGAGCTTGGGGGAACACCTGTGCGCTCGACTGTGATGACTACAAGGGGTTTAGGCACAAATGAGAGGATTTTGTAACATGTTATACGACAAAAACTCTTCAAGGTTCTTGCTGTAGTGGTTCTACACTTGAGCACATACACAGGGAATCCTTTCCCTACTAGGAGCCCATAGCTAGATCAAGAACACAGCAAGAACACAGGTAATGACGTCGGCAACCTCTTTTTGTTACGGAATATTGGGCTGCCTGACTACTGCAACACCAGAAGCCCAATGGCGCAGCTGTCGGAAATGCTCCACCACATGATGGCGAAGAGGAAGTGACAAAGGGCCTTGTCACTGCAAGCAACAGCCCGCAGTAGCACAGGCATCGATGAAACCAAGGTGGCTGTTAATAATTTTGTTGTATTTTATAGTAGACTATAGTATATTATAATATATTATGGTAGGTTATGGTATTTTATGGTGAAATCCGTGGCTCTCAGGAGCATAGCAACCATTCGCAGAGACGACAATACAAGTGAATGAATGGTCACGATGAGCGCAAGCTTCAAAAGCAGGACTTTGGTTGGGTCGTTGGGTTCTTCAGCCTTGAAAATTCAATGAAGAAAGGGCGCCATCGCTTGCTGATTCTCAGCCACTCCTACTACAGTTACTCCTATAATCCTGTAGTCACCTAGCTGTGAATTCTAGAGCCGCTACTGCTACTATTTCTGCTCTTGCTATCTTGACCACGCTTCTGAGGCGGCGGCATAAGCAATGAAGACAATGGGGTAGAGGCCCAAAAGAGGTACTTGCAGGACGGTGTGGAAAAAGTCGTAGAAGAACATGGCATAGATCTTCCGCTTCTTGCGCACCCGGTACAACTGGCCACTGCAAAGGTGGCTTCAGCATAAAGTTGAATGTTGAGTACACCAAAGGTCTGTTTAAAGGGTATACAGGGATCATAGGGATTCTTACAGTTCGGAGATTGGGGCCGAGGGTTTCTTGGCTTCTGGGAAATAGGAGGGAGACACGCTTGGGAATCCTCGTCATGGGAATAAACAGCGTATTTTGAGACGTCAATGAGAGGAGCCTGAAATTTGATAATGCCCAACTCTTGCGTCAGAGCGCAGGGAAAGCTTGTCAAGAAAGCAACATGTGACTTCATAGATCAACAGGAACAAATATGTGAACGGTCACTTCCATTAGGACAACTGCCTAACTGCGTCAAGCCCGTACTGGCGAAAGTAAGAGCAGAGGCTACCGACGTCGCAAAAAAAAAAAAAGGTCACCAAGCATGACCGCGGCACCCGCGTGCTCTGTGACTCGCCCGCATCGCGGTCGAGGATGCGCTTGATCTTGCCACGCTGCTGCACCAGAAAGGTGCTGTCCTTAACCAGGTTTGCAGGGTGAAGTTGCGCGGCACCGGCCCGTAGTTGCAAGCTGAGATCTGCCGAGCCTGAATCTTTTAGACTCAGTCCTTCTTGATTGAACGCTTCATTCCGACTCGATGCTGCGACGTTCCGAAACCATGTCCTCCACTAAAAGTCATCACACACTCCCACACACAGGCGACACATGCTGCAGAAAGCCCTGGCGATGGCTTACAAACCCCAGGCCCTGCACCCGGAACCTGTCAGTAGGAGAGCGGCCCGACGCGTGACTTCCCGCAGAGGCGCCGAAGCGACGGCGGCTGGGTTCTGCAAGACATCCTGCTTGGAGGATCATTGCTAAATATCACCCAAAAGCGAAAATTTAGTTGTAATCATACTTATCCTCATTGCAGCCCCCGTTGTATCTACCCATGAACCTCTCAGTGGCAAGGATAGAAGCGTAACCCAAGAAGGGCCTTAATTTTTCATGTGGTTTTCTCAGTCCACATGGTATGCATGCCCTGCAATGTTCCTTATGAACTGTAGCTATGGGAAGTCAATTGCAGACCTATATGTGCACATACGAAGTGCGAATATGTGATATGTCGATATGTACTCGCTTATCTACAACTGTACATGGGGGATTGTTAAAATTATGGTCCCTTTTTGGGTCCCTAAATTAGGCCCCGTATTAGGCCCCGTATTCTAATAGGGACCCAAAAAGGGATCATAATTTTGACAATCCCCCACATACCTATTGTTCCTGAACAAAGACAAGTCCTCGTCGTCGTCTTCTGGAGAAGCCTCGGAGGACGTGCCCTGGCAACAACTATGAAGTCTCCCTAGGGTTTAGGGTTTAGGGTTTTAGGGCTTAGGGTTAAGGGGTTTAGGGTTTAGGGGGTAGCTTGCAAATTTTAAGCCATCTTGATGTCAAATCAAGGTTAAAGGGTTACCCAGGGAGATATATGAGGTAGTTCCTAACAAGTCTCAGTGCCACGCTATAATTGCTACACCCCAAAATCCATCTTATTGAGGCAAAATTCAAAAAGCCGGGACACTCGGCTTGGGAAATTGGTACTCAGAGCTTTGTGGAGGGGTGGCATGGAGGTTGCCTCAGTTCAAAGGTATGCATCTGTACCGATATCGTCCTCGGGAAAGTGACATCAAATACGAATCTCTATTTTGTTGAAAACTTTGGGCGTGCTTCATTCGTGAAAAGACTGGACTTGCAGCATCGAGCAATGAGCCTGTACAAGGTAGCCTCAAGGCCAGCCCCTCTACTGTAGCTTTGCAATAAGGGTAGGGGATATGTGTGGGGATTGGACAAAGAAACTTGCAGACAAACAAGATGACCAGGTAGTTATCCTGCCCAATCCAAACAGGCCACAATGCCACGCTTGTCTTTTGGATCTGTTTTGGCTATTGCTAGCTATATCTTCGAGGTCCTGGATTGTCCTCACAGGCCAAAACAGCAGGCTTCATACACTCGGGCTGTGCCCTGCACTCCGCCTCAGATGCGAGCTCCGCCAAATCATGCAAGGCCATCAGCGAAGCTCGATCGCATGACAGCAAGGCTCATCAACGTGGCGCCCCGTTGACCCTGAATCCTTCTCAATACCGGCTCCTCGTGGTATAGCAGCGCATGTCAAGATCAGGATAGTCGAAGACTCCAAATGGGCTGGGGTGATGTGGTCCGAGTGCTGCGTTGAAACCTACAAACTGCTTCTCTTAGACTAAGCAACGTGTCGAAATTCCTTTTACAGATCTTGCTTCAGCTCCTCTGAACTTCTACGTATTGGCTAATGGGGACCAGTTGGAGGGCAAGATTCGCGTAATTCTGTAGGAAGTATGAGGTGCACAGCTTCGTCTACTTCAGGCTCGATGCAAAAGCGGCTGCAAGCCTCAACTGGCTCATGCTAGTAGTGCTTCAACTCTTTATCACTGGAAACCTTTTCAATGCGGTGCCTGTAGGCTAAGCTGGTGACCTGTACCTGCGCAGAGATCTCTATAACTCTCCTGACATCACGTACTGAGGATTCATAGGCATGGACAGGCGTCATGCAGGGAAGACAGTTCAAACCTAGTGGTTGCCCTCCGGACTACGAGACTGAACCCGTCGGTGAAGATGATCACAAGAAATACACAGAAGCAGTAGCAACAAAAATCACCAAACTAATAAGAAGACTGGGCAGAAGATGCAATTCAATGTGAGAAACGGTCAGTCAAAACTTGCAGCCCCTCTCGGGATGTTGGCATGATTGCCAGACCCTATTCATCCACCCCCAAATGGTAGTTTCCATGAATATGGCGACCACATACAAACCTCAAAATACTATATATTCCTATCATAGGGCCCCCAAAGACAGGGGCCCCTACTGTTGATGGAGGAAATCTTGCACCACCCTAAGTTCCTAGAGTCCTAGAGATTGCAGTAGTTTAAGGCCCCTAGCTGGTGCAAGATTTCATCCATCAACAGTAGTTTTTGGAAATCCCCCACATCAACATCTTCCGTGGCAAAAGCCTCGGCCAACCCCATACCCGGAACTCCAGAAAAAGATTGCCCAAAGATCTAAACCCAACCTTGAGCTCCCAAACGCGAATTAGGGTTCAGGGTTTATGGTTCAGAGTTTAAGGTTTTGGGTTTGGAGTTTAGGTTTAAGGTTTAGGAGTTTAGGAGTTCAAAGCCAAAGCCTAGAGGGGACCCCACTATAGACCCCAAAATATGATCATCCTTATTATAAGGACCCCCCAGAACGGTACCCCTAATTTCGGGATCCAAAGAAGATCTACGACGCAAGTGCTGTGCCCCAACCTCCTGCACCGTAAACCCTACACTAAAATCACTGCTCTTCAGAGAATGCTGAAGCCGAGGCCCCTAAAAATGCAACAATTCCAGATTTTCCAATGGCATGTGCGAAAAGAGTTAATGACTGTTCTTCAGCTTTTGTGGCAATTTTATCCCGAACCTTCATGCTGAGACTCTGGCTGCAAGTGAAGGCGTGGACGGCTGCGAAGAACGGCTGCTACGAGCTCCTGGCAGGGTCACAGAAGGGGTGACTCGGTAGTGGCCATAAGGGGACTGGATCTCAATGTAGGCCCCAGAAGACAAGAATCCTTATTATGGAGCCCCGACAGAGACCCCTAACGTTGGCAACCCCCATGTGCTTTTTTGGCACGTTTTGAGATTAGGGATGCGGAGCTAGGGTTTATGTAGGGTTACGCAAGGCTACCGCGATCGCAAGTTGGGGGATAGATGGCGCCAAAGAAGATATCAAGGGATGTATGGTTACAATAGAGGGGATGTAAGGCTTCAGGTGAAGCACAGGCATACGAGAAGGAGACCTCCTCTGAGTGCACCTTACCAGATTTTGATCTCTGGTACTCGAAAAACACTTCTCATTGTATGCGCCGGAGGGGTTCGTGGCGCTGCACTTTTAAGTAGAGTCGATAACAACCTCATGTACATCAATTCCTGATCCTGGAGCTTGAAACCAAAACTTCTGAGGCCACCAGCCAGGGTCGGCATAGAATTTTTTCTACGCTCATGATGCGAAATTAGAAATCCAAGGAGATTTCAGCGACAAGCCTGAACCTCGAAGCGCTGGACGATAAGCTGCGAACCTAAACTGTAGTGAATCCCAATATGTGTGGAATTCGATTCCCGGAAAAATTCTACAATAAGAACAACTCCTTACCCAAGAGCATTGGCCACAAAAGTTAAAATTAGGAGGACCCCCCCCCACCCAGTAATAGTGGTATACAAGGAACAATATAAGAGGACTCTAATATAATCACGATTATCCCTTTATAGTGTTACTGGGGGAAGGTGCCCGCCCAAACTATACAACCAAAGTCCAGGCAGAGCCGTTAGCCCCAGAGGTCAAACAAACCCTAAACCCTAAACCCCAAAAACCCGAAATCCTACACCCTAAAAACCCTAAACCCTAGCAACCCTAAATCCCAAACCCTAAACCCTAAGGCCTAAAGCCTAAACCCTAAACCTTTAAACCGAAACCCTTGACCGCGCGGCGGG